TACAACGATAACAACAATCCTGTGTAATGATGATATTCGATAAATCCTTGAAGCATGCCGTTAGATTATGAAAATGAAGACAAAAACCCGAATAACAATTGGTTAAAAAACATAAATCAAATCGTCGAAAGTAATAAAATAGAAGTTAAATAATTGAAACAAACAGATAAGCGAGCATCTTCAGAACAACTTGAAGAATTCTAACAAATTCTGTTAATAAAAAAATCTGTTGGAAGAAATGAGTTCAATATTCTTCTCGTTCCCATCATTACTACCAATCAACAAGCAATACCTTTCATAAAATTCAAAAGATATCTGCTCGATTCCGACTTTTTTTCATGTTAAATAGTTTATATTCCAAAAAAAATTTATGAAGATGGTCCAGAAGTGTTACAATATAAAAGAAAAAATGGTATTCAAAATGAGATTTGAAAATTTCTTTTTTAAAAAACTGTCAAAATATGTCCTTCCACGAAACAGCATGGAAACGATCATTTGTTACAAAAACATATAAGAACTGAATATTGATCCTTGAGAATTTCCAATTCCTCATATAGTTTATAAATTTCAATAAAACCGGATAACCTCCAACTCCTACTCTCTTCGCCTAAATTGAGGGATTCCCGTTATTCCCGTTACTATATTGAGCATTTAAACTCTCTAAATTAACCAAACCTCACTACTTTTGGCGTGAACTTTGCTGTAAAAATGTGATATTTCCCACGGCAGTGTTGCTGATATCATATTTTGAATGACTATTTTGTGGTTGAAGAATTAATCAATTATAGTCAGCTTCAGTTTTAAAAGCATTCAAGATCCGAATTTACATAATTGTGCATAAGATCAGGTAAAGTTTGAGCTACAAACAACTCTTACAAAAAAAAAAATTCATTGTAAGAAGAGTGGGGTAAGAGTGAAGTCCGTGTTATGGATATTTGAGAAGTTGAAGTGTCCATATCCCACTCAATTATCCCCTAGGCAACAATTACAATAACAATTCATTCAAATGGAGAAAATTTTTGAGATGGTATAAGGAGAGAGAGAGAGAGAAGGAGAGAGAAAGGGGAGGAGAAAAGAAGGGAAGAAAAGAGAAAAGAGCTAAAGTAAAATCAATCCCAGGCAAGGGAAAGAAGAGGCAAATATTACTTTAGTAGAAGTGGCCTCTGTTCCTCTCATTTTTCTCCACTTACTGCCGGAAATTGTGGACCATTGTGACGGCGACCACCATCACTATTATCATAATTATCTCCTGTAAAAAGGGCAGCGAGCCAGTGAGTAAACCGTCCTCTTTTGCTGCAATGACGGACGAGTTCGTGACCTATAGGATAGCGGTCTCCACTTTGATGATTACAAAAGACTTACCGCAAATTACCTAATTTATTCTCTCCAGATAATATCAATAACAAAAATCTCAACGTAAAATTGAATAAAGTTGCAAATTAAAAAAAAGAAAAAATAAACTTTGAAGTACATCCGGTAAAAAGAACTTTATTTACTCTTCGTAATTCTAAACAAATATCGTTGTCAACTTAGTCGAGCTCCTTGTCATCCGCTTCTATTCATTTCTTTTAATTCCACTCAAATATGAATGAAAATTATTCATTATCCCTTCTACTGAATATTTGATGAAAAGAATACAATGCGTTATTTGGCTATAAGAAACATTCGCGTTTTGTTAATTTTCACATCGAAAATAAGATAAAAAAGGAGGGCGGAAAGGGACAGAGCGTCTTTCTTCATTTCATTTATTTTAAAACTTTTATACTTTCTACAGGTAGCACTAATGTGCACATAAAACACGCATACGCACACACATACAACACATGCATTATACACATACACACATACACGTACATATACATACACATATATATACAGACATATATATATACACACACACATGTACATATGCACAGAACTGCGTTTACATATATATGGTATGGACAAATACTCTAGTGAACATTTAACTGCGATCAAATTTTTTTTTTAAAAAAAAAGAGAATGAATTTCCAGTTAACATAAAAGTCATTCACATTATTTCTGCTCAAAAGCATACACCAAATTATCGCTATAATATGAATGGGAAAAGAGCGGACAGAAGAACGCAGCGTTTCAAGATAAGACTATGGGAGGGGGAATTGTCCCTTTAACAAATAAGTGCCTGCCTCTCCCATTACTTTCTCAACTATATGACACGTTTGCAGATTAATTCCAACATATATATTTCAGCCAAGTGATTATGTAAATGAATCAGTTGTAAATGACGTTGAGGGAAACATCAACCCTCCCTCTCCCCTCTCCCCTCTCCCCCTATTACTAAACTTTAGTTTAATTTCTGAAGAAATAAGATGGGAACATTTCGAACTATGTTTCATTCTTTTACATCACAAACAAATCCATTTTTTCTCTGGAACCAAAAACTTATTCACCTATTTGGATGAATAATTTATTTTCAACAATTTAAGCAATATTACTACAATCACGTACCCTAAAATTATTGAATCAACTAGTGTTGGATGAGGCGAGAAGAAACGAGATTGGGCAGAATCTGTGATGATGCAACACTTTTGAAATATTGTTTACAGAGACACTAATTGCCATAAGGGCTAAGATGAACAGATGGACAACTGAACAGATTCAAATCAATCATTAACGAACAAATCATCCCTCAAATTTAAACTCAAAATTTGTTGGGATCTTAGCAGTAAATTACGTGGACAAATTCAGGTACAGTTCTAAATGCTTCGATCTTGTGCATCCCTGTTGTTTTTTCCTGATATTTTTAATTGTTGAAAGCTCATTTCGAAGGCAATATATACCTGCAGCTTTTAAAATGTGTGAATTTAATTATGTCGTATTAATCCCCCTTTTTTTAATATGATGACATTTGCTAAAGGGTAGCTGTTTATTTAAAAGAAATAAAATAATATACGCTATTAAACGGTTACGATGGATCTATCCTCATAATATTAATAACCTAAAAAAGCTTATTTAAAAAAATGTGCAAAACTAGAACGAATAAAGCAAACCAGATGAAACCGCGGAAAACTCCGGTGATAAACGGAAACGAATTTCCTTTTGCAACTATTAGCCAAAATGTGTAAATTGTACTTTTCGTCATCATATAAATAAAAATGCATACATCAACCAGGTTTACCTCTTTGTAATGAACAAGATGATGAAGTTGTAGTTTTATGAATAATATTCCAAATTTAGCTTTAACTCATTATTAATTTCGACAGCTATTCACGAACTGTAAATGAAGTGGAAAAGACGGAAATAAAGTATGCAAATGAGGATTTACCTAAAACTAAAGGAATTTATTCGTCCCTCAAAATCTCTCTCTCTCTCTTTTTACAAATGTGGTTTTTTTTCTTTTTTTGAAAACATATACAATCTTTCTCCTTCTCTCTTTCTCTCTCATTTGAATTCGATTAAACACTATTGCAAATAAGCATAGAACAAGAGACAGATAATCAGTTTAAAGATCGATCAGTTTATTTGAGATTGAAATATCTAAAACGCAATAAATCGTCCCAACTTTGTTATCAGTCAATATGTGACAGATAATCTATAAATATGCCGATCTGTTGAACATCTTAAACCCTTCCCTGTGTTAATTAGTTTGGCAAGAAAACGAATAGATGGATGGAAGAAAGAAGAGACACAATACAATCCATTTACATTAACACACGACTACACTTCGGACATCAAAAAAAATTAATGAAGCAGGATTAAATCTAATTAAGGATCCGAGAGTTCTTAGGTTAAATCTGCTACCTAACACAGAATATGCTCGATTTAGTTCCTATTTCCCAATTCTGCATTATTGTCATTCATAATAACGACAACGATAAAGGATTAGGTGGCGATTCAGTGTTACACTTTAAATTTTCACATCTAAATTCAATTCGAGGCTTAAAATTGTTTCCTCGCTTATTTTACTGTTTCTCAACGACTGCACAAGGTAAAAGTGGAAGGACATTTTTTATCACTTCAATTATAAGAATCTCTTACTAGCAGAAAGTGAAGTGAATGAATCGATCAGACATGTTTGATATATTATCACCTTCAGTTATTACTGCTTTGCTGCTTTTTGTGATGAACTATTGACTGGGAAGAAATAAATCCAATATGAATACTTTCTCACATTCATTGTTTAAAGGTTTCAGTCATTTCGTTTACTTCACTAGACGGTATTATGAAAAGTATATGATAACGATGACATAAAGATGATGAAAATCACTTTCAACCGTGCGTGCAATAAAGAATGCAACAAAATAGGGAAAGAAAAGGGAAATATTGATAGAACAAATTTCGAAATGTTTTCTAAAATTTTTTTTTTTTTTAAAAAATTTTTCGAAAATTTTCGAAAAATTTTCGAAATCTGCAGCAATTGATTCAAATCAAATCTCGTATTATAAACACAATAACTGCCCAAGAGGTAAACAAGTGAATGTCACAGCAACGATTAAAACCGCGAAGGTGAATAAATGACAAGCCGCAATCCGGATTCATGGTTCAACTTGTTTTTCTCGTCTCTTTCTTTTCTTGTCCTCTAAATGTCTTTTTCATAACCGAAGTTATCTAAAAAAGCTTATTGAGATGATCGGATGAAAGATAGGGATTGATTAAAAGAGCTATATGGAAAATGGTGCTGAAGGATGATCAGTAAATGGAAGAAGTCATATATATGACAAAGAACAATGACATTCTTAATCAAAATTACATTTGCCATGAAGCTGAAGTCAGTGATCACTTCTCATTAGCTAATTTAGCTGAAATGTTCGCACTGAATAAAGAGGTGATTGCGATGACTTATAATAGGAAAGGTTAAAATCCATTCTATGAAAGTTGGAAGGGAGGAAAAGGAGAACGGAACTTCTCAGGAAATGATGGAAGCTGCCTTTAGCTGTAGTAACAAATTTGGGGAATGCTTATGCGCTTCTTTTCTCTTCTTATTGTTAATAAAATAGATTATCTGATTGAGTGTAATCTTTTCATTCCACGATAACTGAATTCAATTTCCGATAAACTTTCCGAATATTATTACGGAACAAACGGATCTCTGAATCTGTAAAATGGAAGTCATCCTAAGATGTGCTATAATACAAGCGACTAAGCGACAAAGTAGGGCAAGGTTTAACTACACTATTGCACAGTTCTTTAATGCCAAAAAGATATGGCAATCAGCTGATGATGAATTACCATTAAGTGATAGAAATTAATTATAACAAAGACGTACTTCCTCATTACGAAGTATTTCCATCTACCTTAAGGCTAATCAAAGTTATTAATCCTTTAGTCATTTCAACAGCTTTGGAAATCATCCTCTTCAGAAAATCCCAACCACATTTATCTGTCGTGTGTTCATGTATTTTTTTGCATAGATTCTTTAAACCGAAATTAAAAATGATAGGAAGACCGAAAATAACGTTACTACCTTGTGATATTTCACCTTCCGGAATATGTTGATAATCGTACCAAGAGTTCGGCAGGAACTCATAAGGCCTTAATTGAAACCTTTCCAACTTATAGAGTTTGTCGTCAGCAAGCTTATGGGCATTTCCACTTTCCGTATGACGTATCTCTCACGTGGCATATTAAACAGCTCATTTTAGTAATCTGACAACAATTCAATATGACTTATATCTCAATTCAAAAAGGTCAACATTTGAAAAATTTGCTGCTTCAAAATGAGAAATGACCTATAACGTGCCATGGCATGCCATGCGTATTTAGCTTCTCGGTTTATTGAAGCATTATTGAAAGAGCCAACCATAGGTTCTGACAAATTGAATTGAGCCGAAAATGCTCCACCACATCCCTATACTCCTTGTTCTCTTTCTTCTAACTAGTAGAACGACAAATTCGGATGTCCTTGGAGAGATGGACAGACATAAACGTTAAAAGAGATAAACTGACAGAGACATATTCTTCATTCCTTCAAAATCTTTTCATATATAGACTACAAACACATATACAAAGAACGCCTCTAACTTTCACTGACAATTTGTATAATAAATTCAATGATGGTAATTTCTAGTGATATAAAGATGTCTTCTGATAGCAAGTGATAAGAAAAGAATGAGTATGTCCGCTTTTGTATAAATCTCTACATTATGACATGAAGTTTGTGTCAATTAAGCAGCAAAAAAGACAGAGAACTGTATACCGAAAGATGGAATATAAGCTACAGACGGTCACACACCTTCATTTTCTCTCGTCCCATGAACAGAAGTCCCAGTCGATCCATGAACTAAAATCAGAGAAGTGGGGAATTTAAATGAACTGCTTTAATTGAAAATTTGTTAATTGCAACTGAAACTCATATGAAAATCAGGAGAACATATAGGAAATAATGGGAGAGAAATTAAAGCAGCATCCCTCTAATGAGGACATAAAGTGACATACATAAGTGTTGCTGCATGTCAATAAAGCTTTTGGTAGAGCTTAGTGAATTGAATATGTGAGGGGAAGTAGGCGAAAAAAGGAGAGAGATGGATGGAAATGACAATAAATAGTATGATTGAATGGCATCTATTGTTGCGTACATTCCATCCCTTCTCCCATCATCCCTTTTTACTTAGAAACTACTGCTCTCTTCAATAAGACATATTAAAGTAACACCGCCTTTTTTTTCCACCCTAGCAATAGCAATAGCAGTAGCAACACTTTAAATTTTGATGACAATTCTTGAATGATTATTACTGTTATTTCCCATAATTCGACGTAAAAATGTTTCATAAACGATAAATCATATATACATAATAAAATTTGTTTTGGAAATATCATCAGAGGTGTGAGAGTTTTGATGTTTGGGTAATATTAATGCTTACATGTCATTCGGGCATTCCCACAAACCATACATAAGTCGAGATGGAAATTCTGCATATTTGGAGGGAGTATATATTTGGAGGATCTCGTTTCATTAAGCAGTCTACCGTACATTGCGTGAATTGACCTATATCATGCATGGGTGGCTGACAGTAATTCGTAATCCATATGAATCATTGGTTGAATTCCATTAAAATTTTTTTTACCTTCTTCAAAACGTAAACATGCCGTAAAAATTGTGGGGGTTGCTGAATTATTAAGAAATGAAGATTTTTCCCATAATTGATATTTACTGATGAAATGTAATGCTATCGGTGTCCCTTGAAAAACAATTCCTATGCCAGTTAAGAGCGAAGTCATTTCAATAAATTTAAACTATTAATCAGTTTGTAAATTAAGCCGTAACATCCCATGAGAACGGACAAAGGCAAGTGGCGTCCTGTAAATAACGATTGTCATCAGAGTACCAAATAGTCGGGTATCATTATTGTCTTTCTCATTTTCTTTCAAATTGAACCAGCTTTTACAGCCTCTTATCTCTCGCTGAGGCAAAATGTGTTCAGGAAATTTTAAAAAATCTCTTTTCCGCATTATAAAACTCATCTACTCGATTTACCTGGTTTTCCATCAACCTTCTTTTGTATTTTCCTCTTTGCTCTCTTCTTTTTATTTCTTCCTTTTTTTTTCTTTCTTTTTTTGAAAGGTCATCAACTAATTAACTCTTCTCCAGCGCTCGATTTCGTTCTTCACTCATTATTGACTTTGCCAGTTTGACATTTCATATCCGGTGGAAAACTTGCTTGATATTTCTGAACTCAATCTGGTTGTTTTTTAACATTAATTTTCCCATTCATTTTTCTTTTTTTGAGCATAAATTATTTCCTAAGCATTTTCTTAAGGGTAAACCTCTAACAATTGAGTGCAAAAAAGAGAAAGGGAAAAGCTAATTAATTAGCCCATATGACTGTGTGATAAATTGTATGTAAATAGTATAGCAGAAATATTTTAATAGCAAGATTGAATGACTTTTGAAGGCGCTCATGTCCCACTGCCAACATTGCAGTAACACCGTAGAGTTACAGATGTTATCTGAAATAATCTCTAACTATTGTTATCATAGCTATCATTACCTCGAGCAATGAAAAATTGTTTGATCCATAATGCGCCTGTTGATGACAAGTTATAGTAAGCATACCCATTAACTCCTTCTATATAATCCGTTCAAATGACATTTAATTATTCATGAGATTGAAAAATGCTAGGATCGCACAAGGTCGTACTACCTGCAACTATAATAATTCAGATTCATTAAAATTACAGACAGATCTTAATTTAGGATAAAAAATTCGAAATAAAGCGGTTAGCAGCATTTTTGCTAGAGCATAATAAAGAAAAATCATAAAGTTAGCTGATAATAACCAGTGGGTGGGTAAAAAAATATGATATGATATAATTTGTTTCTCGCCAAGGTAACCATTATATTCATCAGACACGAATATATATGCAAATAATTGAATTAACATAAAAAGGCGGTTATCGTACAACAATTACTAAAAGTAATCCAAAAATTATTGATAATTATGGAGAAAAAACCGCCTATAATCCAAATTTTAATTTCATTAAGGATATTGGACAGCAAAAATAGCCAGCAAAATACATGTTGTCTTACAGTTACCCAGCTTTAATTAACTTTTCATTGTTGAAGTTGAGCACCTGCTTTTCAATGGTTTATCCCATATCCGATTTCCACAACGTTTTTACATTTACATGAAGCTTTAAATTTTACACTGTTATCCAAAGGTCATTCGTTTTTTACCTCTCTCCATAACTTCTCAAAATTATTGACAGCAATACAAATAAAAATATTTTAATCGATCAATAAACATTGTCATATGACAAGAAAGTAGACGACTTTAATTTTAACGATCAAAACAAATGAACTGTATGAAACAAAAATCAACGAATTTTAAGCTTAAATAATATTTCCTGTTTTCTATTATCAGAAGAAATGGTGGAAACGAGTAGGCCAAAAAGCTGAAGCTAACGGGGGACTCAACTATTAGACCACTAATTCGGCATGGTAAAAGTCGAAGAAGCTAAAGCTAGGGAATTTACTTTTTTTTTTGTTTCTTTTTCCCCGGCCTCACCTAAATAAAATTTGAGTGAAAAAAACATGCTAAAATTAAATGAGTGAGTAATACCGAACTGGAAAAAAGTCAACCCTTAATAGAATCGTTGTTTTATCAACGATAATTATGTCACGAATATATTACATAAACTAGCAAATATGATTTTTTATCCGTATGCTCAGTTTTTAGTTGTTTAACCATTAAAACTTCCGCAATTAAGAACCTGTAATTAATTAACAGTTATTTAACGGTTATATCTTTTTCTGCTTCTCCATAGATTCTCTTTCACCTCGCTCTCCTGCGACCCTAGTCGTTATTAAATGATAGCCTTACCACTTCCTTTATTTTTATTGATGAACTTTTTATTAAAATGCAAAACGCTTTTGGCTTTCGATATGATCTGTAATTTCTTATGTTATTTGGATGATGGCGAATTCCGAAATTTACATTATTCATAATTTCAACTCGATGATCTCAAAATAATAACGACCAATGGCTTTGACCTGATTTCACAATGGATCCTAGTTGGATACATTTTAGATTTTAGCCAAAAAAGGGTTTATACATACAATTGTTAGAAAACCATTCCACTATTACTTTATCAGATTTATTAGTGTAACAAAAGAAAATTATAAAAGACGGATGAACACTGACAATTTCTTATCAGATGCGAAAATAAAAAATTCAACTTTTACAGTATCTGACGACTGATAAGCTATAGATCTGAAACTGTAAAAATTTCGGAGACATTGAAATAAGGTGTGTGTGTGTGTGTGTGTGTGTGTGTGTGTATGTGTTATTTGTGTCTGTTGTTTTATATATATATATATATATATATGTGT